AATCTATTAAAAATATCTTCTTAAGGAGCAGGAGGTTGCAGCAAATATTGTACGGTTTACTTTGCTATAGTTTAGTGGTTTTGTTTCACTAAAATTAAACGTGGAACAACGTGGAACTTTTTTTTGGTCTGCACATATGTTCAAACTTGTGTATAAAAATTTTAATTTTTAAAAGGAAAAATTAAAAAGAACTTGTTTTTTAAATCTAAAGAAAAAAAAGTAAATAAATTTTAAATATCTAGGCGCTCGCTGGGGGATCCATGGTAAAAATGATTGGTGGTAAAAATGATCATGGTAAAAATGATCGGTGGATCCATGGTAAAAAAAATGCAAAAAAATGATTTTTTTTTTTAATTGTATTTATTAGATAAACTACCTGCCTTTCAGAGGAAAGTGTTTTTTATACATTGTTTACATTAAAACACTGTTTAAAGTAATAAATTTGTCATCTTATCTTAATTGCTGTTCATAGCAACGCGCATAGCAACCAAAACAGTTTGTCAATTTTTATCTTTTATCTTCTACAAAATCAAAGTAATTAAAGTTTGTGCTACTTAAAATATATATACTATGCTTTTAACTGTTCTGTTGTTTGTATTTCAATTGTTTTATTTGTAAATTACTTAAACTATTTAATTTTGTGTGAGTGAGTTATTAGAGTTATTGAGTTAGTTTTTTCAAAACTATTAAATTAGCATATTTAAAAACCCGACTGAAAATATATTGTTAGTTGAACAGTATAAATGGCTTACAAAAGAAATAAAATAAGAAAATTAATCGAATGAAATATCGGAATAAAATTAGGAATGTCGCTGCAATGCCACATTGCAGCGACAATCCTAACAGTGTTGAAGGGCATAAACTTTGTCCTCGCAGTTTAAGTAGTTGGTGCAAATGGCAGAGGGATTTAATTACTGGTCAAAAACATATAAACCCTGTACTAGTTTGTCTCTTATTATAAAAAAGCAACCAATATTTATAGATCTTAGTCTGCAGATGATTTGTTGTTGAAGTGCTTAGATGGTACAACCCAAAATCCTAATGAAGCTTTTATCCAAATTATATAAAAAAAATTCCCAAAGAACAATTTTGTTTGAAAACAAACAGAAATTTGTTTAGCATCAGCTGTTTTAACGTACAATGATAGATTGTTAGGATATGAAAAGTTATTTAAACATCTTAACATTTTAAAATTGTTAACTGAAGATTAAGAGTCATATTCTGCAGGAAGTTTTTAAATACAAAATTTCTTTTGCATTTTTCTGCATTTTTTGTATTTTTGAATGTAGTAATCTTAAAACAACTCTAGCTCTAGATCCGCATATAGTTAAATGTTCAAATTTTCAGGAGTTGTTTATTATACTTTAAAATAGTGCCTGAGCTAGGATCTTTAACAGAATTATTTTTTTTATTGAAATCTTTATATTTCCCCATCAATTTTTAATCAAATATTTGGAATATTTACTAATATAGAAGCCATTTTGAAAGTACATAAAAATATAAAATAATCCTAGTTCAGGCACTTTATCAATATGTTTTCTCTAAATTGTAAAAGTTTTAACTTGATTGCATAAGTACTTTTTAAGCAACAGTTGTTTTACATAACTTACTTTTTGTGTATTTTTATGCTGACTCAGCATGCTAAAATAGCTTTGCATTATTTTTTAAAGAAATTTTTTTCTCTCAGTTATATTTTTGTTCATATTTTAATTTAAAAAAATTAAAATCAAGAGTATTAAAGATTTTAGTTTTTTTACCATGGATCCACCTTAACAAAAATAATAATAAAGTTTTGAGGTGGAAAATACGGTTACTTACAAGATAACCATAACTTAAATTTTCATAAATTTATGGTAATAAATTTAACTTTTTACACCTATATTCCTTTAAAATTACACATTGATTATATCTATGAAATTATTTAAAGTTAATTTTAGAACAAAAAGTAGTTTACTTTTTGTTCTAAAAAAAAAAAAAACTACTTTTTGTTCTAAAATTAACTTTAAATAATTTCATAGATATAATCAATGTGTAATTTTAAAGGAATATAGGTGTAAAAAGTTAAATTTATTACCATAAATTTATGAAAATTTAAGTTATGGTTATCTTGTAAGTAACCGTATTTTCCACCTCAAAACTTTATTATTATTTTTGTTAAGGTGGATCCATGGTAAAAAAACTAAAATCTTTAATACTCTTGATTTTAATTTTTTTAAATTAAAATATGAACAAAAATATAACTGAGAGAAAAAAATTTCTTTAAAAAATAATGCAAAGCTATTTTAGCATGCTGAGTCAGCATAAAAATACACAAAAAGTAAGTTATGTAAAACAACTGTTGCTTAAAAAGTACTTATGCAATCAAGTTAAAACTTTTACAATTTAGAGAAAACATATTGATAAAGTGCCTGAACTAGGATTATTTTATATTTTTATGTACTTTCAAAATGGCTTCTATATTAGTAAATATTCCAAATATTTGATTAAAAATTGATGGGGAAATATAAAGATTTCAATAAAAAAAATAATTCTGTTAAAGATCCTAGCTCAGGCACTATTTTAAAGTATAATAAACAACTCCTGAAAATTTGAACATTTAACTATATGCGGATCTAGAGCTAGAGTTGTTTTAAGATTACTACATTCAAAAATACAAAAAATGCAGAAAAATGCAAAAGAAATTTTGTATTTAAAAACTTCCTGCAGAATATGACTCTTAATCTTCAGTTAACAATTTTAAAATGTTAAGATGTTTAAATAACTTTTCATATCCTAACAATCTATCATTGTACGTTAAAACAGCTGATGCTAAACAAATTTCTGTTTGTTTTCAAACAAAATTGTTCTTTGGGAATTTTTTTTATATAATTTGGATAAAAGCTTCATTAGGATTTTGGGTTGTACCATCTAAGCACTTCAACAACAAATCATCTGCAGACTAAGATCTATAAATATTGGTTGCTTTTTTATAATAAGAGACAAACTAGTACAGGGTTTATATGTTTTTGACCAGTAATTAAATCCCTCTGCCATTTGCACCAACTACTTAAACTGCGAGGACAAAGTTTATGCCCTTCAACACTGTTAGGATTGTCGCTGCAATGTGGCATTGCAGCGACATTCCTAATTTTATTCCGATATTTCATTCGATTAATTTTCTTATTTTATTTCTTTTGTAAGCCATTTATACTGTTCAACTAACAATATATTTTCAGTCGGGTTTTTAAATATGCTAATTTAATAGTTTTGAAAAAACTAACTCAATAACTCTAATAACTCACTCACACAAAATTAAATAGTTTAAGTAATTTACAAATAAAACAATTGAAATACAAACAACAGAACAGTTAAAAGCATAGTATATATATTTTAAGTAGCACAAACTTTAATTACTTTGATTTTGTAGATATCCATAACTTAAATTTTCATAAATTTATGGTAATAAATTTAACTTTTTACACCTATATTCCTTTAAAATTACACATTGATTATATCTATGAAATTATTTAAAGTTAATTTTAGAACAAAAAGTAGTTTACTTTAACATTTTAAGTCTAAAAGCGATAAAACTTTTACTTTTTTTTCTCGTCACAAAAACAGCTAAAACAAATGTGTTAGGTATTTACATTCCAAAAATGTCTCTTTTATTCGAAAGTAAAGATTCCTTGTTTGAAGCATTAAAATATTCATTAAAAAGATATGTAAAGAAGATAAGCTACAAGAAGATACCAGCGGATAACAATTAGGATGACAATTATCTTCTTTTTTTTGTAGTTATTTTAGGTGCTCCCAGAAGTCCTTATCACAGAGCACCGCGGAAGAACATTTAACAAGAAGTTCACGCCTCCTTCCATACCAATGTCGCTTATTGGGCTAGAGCTGGCGTCGAACCACGGACCTCTAGGTTAACTTAACATGCTTGGCTCTTTTTTGACTTTTTTTTTTTTTGAACGTATCCTCTTTTAGCTTAAGTTATTTTCTTTTAATCGATCTTTTAAAGGTAATTCAATTTAATGTATTCGTGCTTACTTTAAAATTATTTTTGCGTTAAGATTATTTTATCTTTTTAAGACAGATGAATGTTTCTGTAACATACAGCTTAAGCATTTAAATTTTTATAATGGTATTAATTTTACATAATGGTATAAATGCAAAAATGTTTATAAAATAGTTTTGTTATATATATTAATATGTTTCTGTAAATACAATATATGTGACTTAAATGAACAATATATTGTATTTGACAATGCTGGTATTGTTATTATCCTTTTTTAATTCGATGGTTTGAAGCACAAAAGGCACATGGCCATACTTGACAGTCTCAAGAAAATAGATTTTCAAAGCTAGAGATCCTCAATTAACTAATTATAAAATATTTCAGAAGATCAGCAAAATTGTAATTTTTTTTATTTTTATTAAATAATATTAAAAATAAAAAAATTTCGTTATTTTTAATAATATTTATAGATAAAATGTCAAGTAGTTTTTTTACATATGTCTTTTGCGCTTTAAACCATTGACTTTTACTTTTTTTGATTATGCATTGTATATTATTTTGGCATTTATATTGTTTTTTTACTTACATATACTTTATCTACATTTAGTTAAAAAAACAAAAAAAACAAAAAACAACACTTATTTATTTATTTTCAAAAATACCACGCATTTCCACACACAATAATAGTCTTGTTACGCAAAATTATTCCGTCTCGTACTCAAAAACGTCCTTACAAACACATATAGATGTCCTTACAAACGTTCTTACAAACACATCTAGCAGATGTTCTTAAAAACGTCCTTACAAACACATCTAGCAGATGTTATTAGAAGATGTCTTAAGGACATTATTATAAAGACGTCTTTTAGCCTAATGAAATAGACATCTACTAATGCGCATTATAGACTTCTTTTAAACTTTTTTGTTCACTGGGTATGAATTTGAACATATTTTTACTATAATAAACTGCAGAAAAAGGCAATGTGATTATATAACGCAGAGATTAATTCATTTTTTTTTTCATAAAACAATTTATACTTTTTATCTAGATTTTCAAGTATGCATATGTAAATTTCGTAATGCACGTAGTTAAATTTTGTGTTCACATTCAAATTTCGTAAACATATGTAGTACATCAAATAAATAAAACTGAAAAAAATCTTTACTTCAAATAAAGTCACAAGTTATAAATTAAAAGCTTAAAAACTTTCTAAATATATTTCACTTAAATATATTTAAGATCATTCTAAATACTTGGTATAATTAAAATATTTTACAATAAAAGTTGTAAAAATTTGAAAAAATGTAAAAGCTACTTCAAATGTAAAGTTACTTCAAAATTTTAAAAATCAAACAAAGTTTTGTTATTTACATAAAATCTTACATGCACAATATTAAAATTTATTAAAAGCTATTTTACTTAACGTAACAAAACGCAAACACTAAGATGACAGTTAACAGTCTAAAAACTGATTTCTTATTAAAATTTGTTAAAATAAATGAGCTAACAAAAAATAATATATGTAAACATCATATGTATAGAAATTTACATAAAATATATAGTTAAAAGTCTAATAATTAGACGTTCCTAAGTTAAAATTCAAAAAATGTAAATAAATTGTTTAATACTTATAATAGCAAACAATTTATATAAAAACCTTTCAAATCTCAAAAATATCAAACAATCGTGAAGTAAATTGACTTTGCGTATTTTTATTGCGTAATAAAAAAACTTTAAACAATGATGTTTAAGCAGAACCAGTGTAAAAATTATTTTTAGTCGGCAACAACTTCTTTCAGAGGAGTGTCGCTACAAACAAAACAGTTAAATTTAAAAGATAGATGCAAATAAACTTTTACAAAAAAAAATTCCGTGAGTTTTATAAATGTTAATAAATTGTGTTTTTATTTAGTTTTATAAAATATTTTTAAAAAAATACCTTTTAAAAATAAATACAGAATAATTTATGCCCATAAATTATTGTTTATTTATTTTCAAAAAGTTTTCTTGAATTAATCAATTAGTAACAAATTCGAGATTTGATTCGAATTTTTGAATGTCTCTAATCTATACAAATTAATAGTGGATTGCAAGAGGCGAACTTGAATTTTGAAGTCATACTTCAAATCTGAAATTTGACTTGAGCAAATGCAAAGAGCGAACTTTAACTATATTTAAAAACCGGTTTTTAAATTTTTTAGATTTTACGAACTTCAAGGATTTCCTGGATATATTGGAACAATAGATGAAACAAGTATATAACAAATCCTGAGCAGAATCAGATACAGTATCGAAACAGAAAAGAATATTTTTTTTAAACTACCAGGTAATTAAAGGTCCTTTAAAAGAAATTTTACCTGCTTATATTCAGTGGGCTAGATGTGTTCAAGGATCACGAGTTTTTACAAACTCAACCATTAAGAAGGTTTTAGAAGCTTATCAGCATGTCCATGTTATAGGGGACAACGTCCCATAATATCAGCACAAATGTAATGTTTTGTTTTGGATTTTTAAAGATTTGTTTGCAATATCCCTTTACAAATAAAACCGAAAATATTTATAGCTATTGACATTATTTTGCTTCACAACTTTTTTTTTTACCTTACAAAATGATCTTTGGGTATACGATGAAATGTAAAATTATAACGAAAAATTGTTGGTTTTCGAAGCATCTACGAGAGGTTTTGTAGGAGAAACAAAAAGTAATTTAAATTAAAACAGTGACTCGATTTTCTTTTTATAAATATTTAACTTATCAAAGAATAAAAACATAAATAAATAAAAAGTATATAATTAAGTAATAAAGAAAATCTTTTTTATTGATAAAATAAATAACTCTGAAAAAAACAGAATGAACTTGTAAAGTAAAAATAACAATCAAATCATAGAAATAACAACCAAATCATAGAAATAACAATCAAATCATAGAAATAACAATCATATCATAGAAATAACAATCAAATCATAGAAATAACAATCAAATCATAGAAATAACAATCAAATCATAGAAATAACAATCAAATCATAGAAATAACAACCAAATCATAGAAATAACAATCAAATCATAGAAATAACAATCAAATCATAGAAATAACAATCAAATCATAGAAATAACAATCAAATCATAGAAATAACAATCAAATCATAGAAATAACAATCAAATTTGATTGCTCTTTACTAAAATTCAAAAAATAGGTTTATTAAGCCGAAATTAATTGTTTATATTATAAACCTAATAAATGCCAAGAACTTTTTCTCTCATTCGTATATTGAGCCAAATGGCCACACTTTTTCTGTCACTTTAATGATATAAGTCAGCTCAAAGTGAAGGGCAATTTTTTGCAAAGCATCCTTATTTGACATAAGTATAAACATGTTTGGAATTTGCTCTGTGTTTGGAGGTTAGCTATCTTAAAGACCAAAAAATGATGGATCCACCACTGATGGATCCACCCCTGATCTAAGCAGATTTTGATCCTACTGCTGATTTGTTATTGTTATAACAAAAATGTTCTGTCGTACATTAAACGAAATCTAACTTGTGTTAACCATTTGCTTACTACTGATTTTGTTCTCTACCTTTATATATGTATCATATTTGTATTGGTAGTGAAAAATATTGTCATAATTTGAAATTAATTTTCTGCTGACTACCAACAGTGTTTGCTTGCAGTCTTGTTGGAGTTCAATTTTTTTATTTAATAATTTCAACAAGAAAAATTAATAAAAACAACCTTGTGTTTGACATATGCTTTGCTGATAACCGCATAGCATATATGCCATTTGAAAGTTAAGCAGCTGTTACATCGTAGTTAGAGCTTTGGACTAAATAGAAGGTAACACAAGAATGTTCAGTTGAACACAGTGTTTTTTATTAAACTACCAAGTTTTAATAAAAATAAAATAATTAAGTAAAAATTGTTATTTTACTTAAAAATATTTTATTTTTGTAACACGTTTAGTGTTACAAATTTTTTGTAACACTAAATGTGTTACAAATTTATTTTTGTAAGTTAATATTACAAAGTATAAAACTTAAAAATAAATAGTTAATTTGCTTTATTTAAAAGGACTACCTGTAACAAATACTCTGCTGCTATTGGTTGCAAAGTTTTTTTTTTCAGATTCCACCTTTAAATCCACCTTTTAAGTTTTTCAAGTTAGAGTCAAATTGAAAACTTCAAGATCTCAAGTGCAATCTTGAAATTTTCAATTTTTGTTTACGCATCTGCTTTTTTTTGAAGTCTAACTTGACAAAGTTAGACTTCAAAGTTCAAGTCGAACTTCACTCAAGTTTGCTTCTTGCATTCCACACTAAATGTTTGGACAACTTTTCATGAATTATTATTTTCACACTAAAAAAATCATATATTTTTGATGTAAAATATAATCATAACTTATAATTTGTACCAATATTTGTTTTTATATATTTGAATTTTTCAAATTTAATTAACTTTTCTATTTAAAGTATATAATTTATGTTACATATTATGCATCAACTTTTATTATTTAAAAGTCTGATTATTTTACAGTGGAGAAAAGTTTTTTTTAGGCCAAAAATAGGATAGAATGTATATTGCAGATGTAAAAATAGAACTTGAAAAATTTGTTATGAACAGATACGATTAATGTCAGAGAATGAAGAATGATGCAGCATTGAAAAAAAACGCCTGAGATGAGAGAACTGTTTCTTTATGAACTTGAGGTTTCCTTTAAACTTGATGCTTCTGTATCGAAGCCAAAAACTGTAGTTTCCGGAGATTTAACTTTTGTCAATTAATTACTCTATAACTCTAATTCTTCAGTAAAAGAGTAATATGAGTAAATAAAAGATTTTAATTAAGTCTGAAGTATTAATTTAAGTAAATTAAATTAAACTGCATTCAAATAAATTAGAACTATTATATATATATATATATATATATATATATATATATATATATATCCTTATAGTGTAGTCGAAAGAGTCGTTTAATGTAAAAAAAGTCTCTTTCAACTACAATTTTAATTACCTTGTCTCTTAAGCTGTATTTGATTGTCGTCGAAATGACAAAACAATTAAATTAATGCGGAAGTACATTAAATTTTATTATTTTTTAAAAAATTTTTAAAAAACCGCAATAATAACAACTAGAAAGTTTTTTTTAATTAGTGGTGTTTTTGTTTTTGTTTTATTAAAAAACATTTTTAAAACATGCGTAAATGTTGCTACATCGACTATCTTATAGCCTGACTTGCAATGGAGTGCTGCTACATCGACTGACAAATAGCCTGACTCGCAACGGAGTGCTGCTACATTGACTGACAAATAGCCTGACTCGCAACAGAGAGCTGCTACATCGACTGAGGGTTTGGTTTGGGCAGGGCAGTCTATCATTTAAAAAAAAAAAATTTAAATTTTTAAACTTTTTCTGGTCTGGTTTATTAACGCGCTCTTTAAAACTACAGTTTATGGGAAACTCTTTTTAACTACCATGCAAGAGTATATATATATATATATATATATATATATATATATATATATATATATATATATATACATATATATATATATATATATATATATATATATATATATATATATATATATATATATATATATATATATATATATATATATATATATATATATATATATATATATATATTGTGTATATATATATATATATATTGTGTATATATATATATATATATATATATATATATATATATATATATATATATATATATATATATATATATATTGGGTTGATAATATAAAGTATCATTCCTGAGAATTTGGTAGATTGTAATATGTACTCAGATTCTGCAGTATCTACTCAGTATAGGATTGAGATCCAACCCCATACATCTTACAGCATGTTCTAGTATAGGTTTGATCTTGAGGAAGTGTCTTTTCAATAAATAAATCTTTCAGAAGATCTCCATAAGCTCATATAAGATTCAATATGTGAAGAAAACTTTATATAAGATTCAAAAAGTGAAAAAAACTTGTGAAAATAGTGAGGATTAAATGAAACTAAATAACAATTTTGATAAAAAAGTAGTAGCGCCTGATAAATAATATCAATCTAATAAAAAATTATTTTTCTACTAGAAGATCAGAAAAGATGCTTTTCTCGCACTTTAATTGCAGACAGATCAAAGGGATGAAGGAAAACCTAAATTTTACTGTTAGTATTAAAAGCCTGTACTTTCTTTTTTCTTTAAGTTTTTTTTTGGTATACATTAATTTATATATAAATATATATTTACCACAGACGTGGCAGCCTGATGGCACCAGACAATCAATTTTCTTGAAGGGCGACTAAAGATATTATTAAGATGCAGTTGAGCTATCAGATATGGCAACTAATTTGCATCAAATTATGTTTATTAAATTAGTAAATTAAATTACTAATTTATTTTAAAAAAAAAAAGTGTTTGGTTTCTACCAGCTTTGAAATAACTAGATTTAAGTTGATATAAAAATGAATATAAAATTTTTTTTTTTCAAAACTATAAAAAACATAATTGTGATAATTTTAAACAAAATAGTTTTTAAGTTTTTTGGACAAAAAAAAAAAATTTGAATTAATAACTGCATTTTAAAAACATGGTTCGATTTGCATTCTAAAAATCTTTTTCAACTTTTATTTCACTGAAATTAGACTACTTTTTAGACAAAAAAAATAGAGCATAATTGATGTAATATTTTTTAATTTATTGAGAGAATAAAAATATTATAAATCGATAAAAATAGTTTAAATAGTCTTAAATGAGTTAAATGAATAAATCTTAAATGAATAGTTTAAATGAGGTCAAATGGA